ACAGCTGTAGAAGTAAAAATTCGACTCCAATTCCCTGAAATGTTGCACTCAGTATTGGCTGTGACTATTAAGTATGTGAGCTGTGTCGACAACATTTTATCAAACTAATCATTTCTTTAAAATTGTTTTTCTGCACATAGAACATAATTAATTACTACAGACAAAAACACGTATGAGACACTGAGACGAGACCCAACCAGCGGATACAAGAAAAAGGCCATAGAATGTCTACAACAGTTACAGAAGGACAACACCATCACCCGTGAACAATATTACCGTTTGTATCCTGGAGAAGCCATTCCATGTATTTATGGACTACCCAAGATACACAAAGGAGCCCCACTCAGGCCGATTATCAGCAGCATTAACTCGGTCACTTACAACATTGGCAAACACATTTCCACCATCTTAGCTCCATTGGTGGGAAACACGCCACATCCACAACTCCATTGACTTTGTAAACAAAGTTTGAGGACTGAAACTGGATCCAGATGAAACCATGGTATCCTATGACGCGACTTCTTTGTTCACATGCATCCCCACCATAGAGGCAGTAGAAACCGTTAGGAACACAAGACAACACCCTGGACAACAGAACTAGCCTCAGCTCTGACCAGATCTGTAAATTACTCGACCTCTGTCTAAACACCACCTACTTCCAGTACAACGGTGGATTCTACAGACAGAAGCATGGCTGTGCCATGGGCTCACCGGTATCCCCGATTGTGGCAAACATCTACATGGAAGAAGTGGAGAAGGAAGCCCTCAACTCCTTCAGAGGAACAGCACCGAGCCACTGGTACAGATATGTGGACGACACCTGGGTCAAAATTAAAAGCCTTCACAGAACACATCAACTCTGTGGACAGTAACATCAAGTTCACACGAGAAGATGTTCACAACAACAGATGGCCTTCCTGGACTGCGCTGTACACATTGAAGAGGACAGGAGCCTGCAGATTGGTGTTTACAGAAAACCCACACACACAGACCAATACCTACTTTTTCGATTCCCACCACCCACTGGAGCACAAGCTAGGGGTCATGAGAACACTGCACCACAGAGCGGAAAACATACCAACAAGCGCCCAAGCCAGAGAGAAGGAACAGAACCACCTGAAGGGGGCACTTACAGCCTGTGGAGACCCTAAATGGGCTTTTGTGAAAACAGCCACAAGATCCAAGAAGAACAAAACTACAGGGGAGGAAAAGAAGGTCAAACGCAACAACATTGTGATTCCATACGTGTCTGGAGTATCAGAGAAACTCAGGAGGATTTTCAACAAACATAACATCCCTGTGTTTTTTTAAACCCAAGAACACACTAAGACAGATGCTGGTCCACCCCAAAGACCGCACACCCAAACACAAGAAAAGCAATCTAGTGTATGCGGTCCAATGCAGTGAGGAATGCACAGACCTGTATATTGGGGAGACTAAACAACCACGACACAAACGCATGGCTCAACACAGAAGGGCCAACTCCTCAGGTCAAGACTCTGCAGTCTACTTACATCTGAAGGACAGAGGACACTCGTTTGAGGACCACCAGGTGCACATTTTAGACAGAGAAGATGGATAGTTTGAAAGAGGTGTCAAGGAAGCATCTACACCAGGGTGGAGAAGCCGTCATTGAACAGGGGAGGGGGTCTACGCCACCCAACAATGCTGTCCTTTCATCACTCCCCAGGAAACTCAACAAACGTAACCTATTGACCTCAGATGCCAACGATGGTCGTTCAGTCATGGCCTCAGGTGGTTCTAACAACCATGACGACTGTCGTTACCACAGCCAGGAGCACTAACGAACCAGCGGTATCGATGACCCGGGCCAACGACCCCACTGAGGTTAAATAGCTGAGTTTCCCTGCCAGTCAGTCAGAACTGAAGAAGTCCTTTGGATGAGGGACGAAACGTCTTCTAGTCTCTTCAACCAAGTCCAGTTGCCCTTGATTTTAACCTTCTTTGGATTCTCTGTGGTTTGATGTTTTAGAAGTAGAAAAGTAAAATATTACTGTCAAAGAACTCTTAAGTTAAATTCAAATAGTGTAATAATTAAAAGTGTGTTTATTAGAATAAGCTCCTCAGTTAGAGAGAGTTGTAGACCTTAATTACTTTCCACCACTGAAAAGTCTGTGTCTCAGAAAACAGGAGATTTATAATGATCACTTATATTTTGAAAGTATCAATGTGTAGACATTTGAGTCTTGGAGATTAAGAGCAGATTTAACTCCTGCATTGACCAACATCTTCAGAACTGCACTGCCAGAAGAAACACAAATGGTACAAAACTTTCTTCTTCCATCTTCTCCGCATTGCAGTGAACAGTTTCATCTTGTACAAAGAGTACACGCCACCTGCAGAAGTTCTCTGATGACTTTGTGGGCTGTATCAGCAGACAGCAGGAGCAGGAAAACAGAGGCCTGCTGGATGACTTTGAACCAACTGCAGTTAAACTTTAGACCAAGGAGCTGATGGTGGACTTCAGCAGGACTTAGCCTCCTCTGACTCTCTGGAGGTTGTTGAGGTGGGTCACTCCTGTAAATACGTTGAAGTGCACCTGGACAACAGGCTGGAAACACAGGGGGCCTCTACAAGAAGGGCCCGAGGAGCCTCTTCTTCCTGCGGATGCTCAGAGGCTTCAGCGTCTGTAACAGTATGCTGCAGATCTTCTGCCAGTCTGTGGTGGCCAGCGCTCTCTTTTATACTGATGTGTGATGCGGCCTGGAGGCAGGACTGCAGAGGAGCTGGAGACCTGGATTCTGATGGCTGGAGTGCGGGACCAGAGACCGGTGACAGGGTATCAGGACTGGAGTCTGGTGGAGCCGGAGAAACAAGAGGCTGCTGATGCACTGGAACAGAGGGCAGCTGCAGCTCAGCAGGATCAGAGGACTACGATAATCAGGACATTACAGGCCCCCTGCTGGACCCCCTTCAGTTTGCCTACAGGGCTAACATGATGTCTATGAAGATTCTCAGTCATCCAGGTCATAGTTATCCAACGAAGGTTAAAGTCAAGGGCAACTGGAGACCAAGTCCAGTTGCCCTTGACTTTAACCTTCGTTGGATTACAGGGCTAACGGATCAGTGGATGATGCAGTCAACTTGGGTCTGCATTACATCCTGCAACACCTCGACTCTCCAGGGACACATGAAAGGATTCTGTCCGTGGACTTCAGCTCGGCATTCAGCACCATCATCAAGGACATCCCCACCACCAAACTCACCCAGCTAACTGTGCCAGCCTCCACCTGTCAGGGGATCAGGGGGTCAGTCAGCAGGTGAGGCTGGGAAACATCACATCCAGCACCCGGACTATCAGCACTGGCGCCCCCAGGGGTGTGCGCTCTCCCCACTGCTCTTCTCCCTCTACACCAACGACTGCACCTCAGGAGACCCGTCTGTCAAACTCCTGAAGTTCACTGATGACACAACGGTCATCGGCCTCATCCGGGACGGTGATGAGTCGGCCCTACAGACGGGACCTGGAGCTTAACACGCTCAAAACTGTGGAGATGACCGTGGACTTCAGGAGGAGCCCCCCACTCTGCCCCCATCACCATACTCAACAGCCCTGTGTCTGCTGTGGAATCCTTCAGGTTTCTGAGATCCACTATATCCCAGGACCTGAAGTGGGAGCCCAACACTGACACCATCATCAAGAAGGCCCAGCAGAGGGTGTACTTCCTGCAGCAGCTCAGGAAGCTCAACCTGCCCAAGGACCTGCTGATCCAGTTCTACACAGCCATCATCCAGTCTGTCCTCTGCACCTCCATCACTGTCTGGTTTGGATCTGCCACCAAAAAGGACAGGAGCAGACTACAACGGACAGTCAGGACTGCAGAAAAGATCATCGGTGCCAACCTGCCCTCCATTCAGGACTTATACATTTCCAGAGTCAGGAAACGGGCAGGAAACATCACTGCAGATCCATCTCACCCCGGACACAACCTGTTCCAGCTCCTCCCCTCTGGTAGGCGCTACAGAGCACTGGACGCCAAAACCAACAGACACAGAAGCAGTTTCTTCCAACAAGCCATCACTCTGATGAACAGCTGATTCTGACTCACAGTGTCAGGAACAATTCCTGTGCAATAACCCAGTAACTCTGTCTCTAATCAGCACCTGTTTACTGGTTTCCACTTATTATTTATTTATTCACCATTCTCTATTTCAGTGCTGTTCATACTATTTCATATTGTATATACTGTATACCAATACACCTACCTCAGGTCATAAGGTCATAGGTCTTATTTATTTTAATTTTTCCTTTGCACTATGCCCCATCACACTGTGTACATGTGTACATGTATGCATGTATGTGTATGTGTACCTGTATATCATATCCACCTTCAACATGTACATAATGAGAATAATAGTTTACTCTTGCATCCTTTGCACTTACTGCACTATTTGTCAATATGTCTATATTGTTTGGTTCATAGTGTGTATATTAGTGTTGTCTATTCTGTAGTTTGTGTCTGATTTTATTTTATTATTGTGTTATTGTATTTTTGTATGAGTAAGCACATCGTGAGCAATGTACAATCCTGAGTCAAATTCCTCGTATGTGTACACATACCTGGCAATAAAACTGATTCTGATACACAACTGTTAGGAAGAGAAATTAATTGTTGGTTTTGATCTTTGCATGTGATTTGTTAAACTTAAGAAAAATAGAGAATATTACCAGTTTTATTCATTAAAGGGAAAACCAGGTTGTGAAGTCACATAGTAGAAGTTTAGATTCTGCATTCATGTGTAAATGTGTCAAATTTGATGTAATTAGATTTTTGTTCACATGAAATCTTAAATAAACCTTCGAGCCACATTGTTAACTTAATGAGTCTGATGATAAAGTATTAGGAGGTTAATTGTGTGTTACATGTGTGACAAAGTCGTGAAACCAGTCAGTCTGAATGTGTGTGTGCTTTCCCTCTGATCCTCCAGGAGGCGACAAAGACGCTTCTGCTCCTCACCTGCACCAACTTACTGAAGAAGAAGAAGAAGAAGATAATTAGGAAGGCAACAAAACAAGTTTGTCAGCAGAAGTTAGTGGTTTAAACTCGGCTGCAGGGATATAAAGTTATCTTCCTATATTGAGTTTCCCGAGAGAGTTTAAGACGTTTGTGTTTAACCACATTAAGACGGTGAAACTCTTCTTCTCTCTGTTTAGCTGCATGGAGACCAAAGCGCCTGTTGTGCTGAACTCGCTTCCTCCTTACGGACATGTTATTGCCAGCGAGAAATGGAGAAACTCGTCCCTCATTCAAAGCTTAAAGGGTAATTAAATCTTCTTTTAAAACAGCCAAATGCCAACAGGTCAGCGTGTAACGCTGTCTAACAATATGTGCTGTCATTCTTACATGGAGGCAACAAACTTGTGCCAAACCTCATTCAAAAAATATCGATGTGTAAGTTTGTTTCTCTTAAATACTTTATATAACCTTTTATATAATATGACTGCACAGCTTGTCTGTTTTAAATACTTCCACTCTTCAGTTCGGCTCACATGTCATCTATTTTAAATGCCTAAATAATGTAACCACAGCTTCTTGAATCCCTGCGTGCTCCTTGTTAATGACTGTGGGGAAACTTCAACTTGACATTTTACAGAAACAGACGTTGCTAATGAGATGGTATTAGTGCCGACATGAAGAGTTGCTGCTAAAGCGTCAGAAGAGTCTGTTAACTGTTTGATATTATCGTCTTTTGGTGATTAGAGTAGCTTTTAATGTGTTTCTGAGTGGAGTTCTGTGTGAAAGGAAAATCGTTAAATTAGTGACCTCCATGACATTTTGTTGAGTTAATGTATCTATTTTATATCTGTTTTAACTGTTGATGTGTTGGAATTTCTCTTTTCAACACTTTCTAAAGTTAAACTTCATGTCTCTCAGTAGTCCGTGTAAAAACCACACATGCTCCTTCTAGAGCTAAAACGATTGGTTGATTAATTGATTAGTAGATTGTGAGAAAATTACTGTTTTGATAATCTGCTAAATGTCATTATTTAAACTAAATACTTTTAGACTGTTGGTCGGACAAGAAACGTAACATTTTAATATTTAATATGACTATCTGACATTTTATGGACCAAAGCATTAATCAAGAATAATTATTAGATTAAATAATAGTAAAAATAATCCTTTGTCGCTGCTCTACACCTTTGTTACATGTGTGTAGTTGGCTACGCTCAAAATCAATATTAAAGTGTGATGTAGTTCTTCCGGTGACTCCTGCAGCGTGCACTTGACATTATTTAATGTGTTTGATGAAGCCTCTACTATGTGCTGTTTTTTATAAGTCTGTCACATTTAAAATGCAAACTGTCACAGCAGATTGAAGAACGGCGTGTTCTCGGCTTCATCTTTACTCAAACGTTAGGAATTTTACAGTCTCAGTGTGAAGAAAATGCCCCCAGAAACAAGCTGTGCTCCTGCTGTAGGTGGAGGAGTGAAAATCCTCTTTGAGAATGAGCTCGGTGTGGCAGATTTCCACCTGCCCAACAAAAGCTGCGTCCTCTACGTGTCTGAGTGCGACATCATAGCAGGAAACAGCTACAAGAGGAAACTGGTTCGCTACAGAAATGTGAGTTTAATGAGCGACGGACGAAAGCGGTTTTGCTAAAAGCTCCTGTGTGCTGCTGTGTCTGATATGAACTCTGTCTGTCCTGTTTTAAAGGGCAGCAGTAGTTTCCAGGAGCTGGTGCTGGTGGAGAACACCAGACTCAGTGAGCAGTACTTCTCTGCTGTGCAGAAGTTTGTGGTGTTTGACCTCGGCCTGACTCTACTGCCGGTCAGCGGGCAGACTGAGGCCTCGCAGCTCATTGCTCAGATCGTAAGTAGTGAAGACAAAACAACAGAGCTGCAAGAAATCCCATCCAGCAAGGGACTGAGTTGGCCAATCAAATCCATGCAACCACACATTCCTGGCAGATTAAACGTGTGGAGACAGAAGATAAAATGGATCCTGACACCTTTGATAAATCTACTGTGTCAGTAGGCGTGTTTGCCTGCCGCCTAAAGTAAAGTGTTAGCGCTGAGCTAATAGCCTCCACTGCCGCAGAGAGCAGAGTTCAGTCAGCAGGCGTCACTTCAGAGCAGCTGACAGTTTTGGCCAGTGGGAAGCCGTTCAGAGTTCACATCCTTGTTCTTGCTGCAGAGAGGAAAATGAAAAGAGTGGACAGTGATAAACCATCCACGTGACCCGAGTCTGTTTTAGTTTAAGAGAGTCGAACACAGAAGGGGTCAAACTGAGCCGTCTGGCCTGAAGCTCTCGTAGCAGTAGACTTTGTTGTCTGATTTTCCAACCTGCTCTGATCGTCCCCAGGTTCACGGGGAGGGCCGAGAGAACCCCTTCAGGAGGAGGACTTCATCTCGGCTGTTGGACCCGCTGGTCCCGGCTCTGGTCCAGCAGGTCCCCGGGGTCGGCAGGGTCAAAGCTCTGGCCCTGCTGCGGCACTTCTCCAGCATCCGGCAGCTCTGCAACGCGGCCCCTGCTGAGCTGGAGCCCATCGTGGGTCAGGCTGCAGCTCAGCAAATCCACAGCTTCTTCCACAAAGACACTGCTGCAGGAACCTGAAGGCTCGACCCTGGGTCTTTATCTAACCAGGAAGGTTTGGATTTGATGCTAGTGCAGATACACTTTGGCTCACATGGACACCAAGTCTTTATTTGAACGTTCACTTGACACCAGCTGGTGAAACATGACCAGCTGTGAGACTAGAAATGGGACGTGTGTGTGTGTGTGTGAAAGAGTAATTTAGAAAGTCAGCAAATATTTTCCACATTATGTGAATAAAAACTAAATACATTAGCATGTTTATATACTGTATACAGAAAGCAGTGATGGTGCAGTCAGTGGTTTGTCTGTTAGTAGACTGATACGTGTGGTCAGACGGTTTTTGCACTTTGTTTTTAAGGAGGATGTCAGAGGGCAGCAGTGAAATGAAGGACTGAAAACAAACAGTCCATTTTGCTGTGACATGTAGATTACATAAACTGACCATCAGCATCCAGCTATATAATGACAAGATGCAGAAAAAAGGTTAAATACACGTCCTTATGAGGAAAGCTGTTGTATTTATTTCATGCTGTGAGGAGCAACATTCGTCGTCTGCAGTTGCAGTCTGCCAGTATGCAACACTTCTTATAGAAACAATGATCAGACAAAAGTTTTGGATTTGGCAGCCAGACATTTAAGGAACATGCAAAAGTTTCTTATCTCTGATTATTTAACAGTCTTGAGGGCAGGTAATGCAGTCAGTAGAATAAATTAGACGACAGTAGATAAAATCAATCAGAGCTGTAAAATTAGTGTGTTGTAGTAAAAAAAGAAAAACAAATATTGAGAAAAATTTGACAAATCAACAATGTATCAGAAATAAAAGATACATTTATTACATTAAATGTAGGAAATCAAATGGTTGTTTTACTCAGTGTGATTGACAGGAGAGATGATCAGAGGGGCAGAGTTTTTACCACCATATTTAAGACCAGGATTAAAGTATGGGTAGAGTTTCTCAGTGAAGCGGCAGCCAGTAAAGGAGTAGATAAGAGCTGCAGCATCAACGTCATAAAAGGAGACCAGACCCTCCTCAAAATCCACAAACACCCCCACCTTCTCAGGCCGAGACTTCAGAGAGAGACGGACTGGAAGCTTTGTACTCATTTCTATTCAACACTAACCTCCAGTAACCATCCTGAGGAGTCACTGTGAAGTTTCCCTTCCTGTTGATCGACTCTCTGGCCACTCCTAAACCCCACTCAGTCTTCCCTTTAACCTGAACCTCGTAGTAAAATCTTCCTGAGGAGAAACTCTGCTTTGCTAAGACATGAACACAAATATCAAATCTCTCTGGATTGTCTGGGAGATTCTTCCATACATCAGCATGTTTAACTTGTTTTCCATCATCAGTCAGGATGAGGCAGGATGTGCTGTATCAGGATCGAGGGTCACATCCACTGCATACTGCTGGACCCTCTTGGCGGCGTCACAGCTTCTTCATCTGTTCACTGAGCGTCTCCTCCAGCTGATTCACAGCTCTCCTCACAGTCCCCTCATATGAAGGTGGACGGACGCTGACTTCTGTCCAGTCCTTGGTGGGTGGAGCAGCGTTCAGGGACGGGAGGCTTTGGAGGAGGTGGAGGTGGTCTTCAGAGCGTGAGAGCTGCTCCACCTCAGAGCTTCTCTTCTTCAGCTCAGAGATTTCCTGTTCCAGCTCTTTGATGAAGCCTTCAGCCTGTTTCTCTGTCTCTCTCTGCTTCTCTATGATCGTGTCGATGAGCTCGGCCTGGCTTCTCTCAACAGACTCCTTCAGAGCGCTGAAGACCTGAACACCACCTGCTATCTCTCTGTCTGCATCTTCCTTACTGAGCTCCACTGAGCGTTTGATCTCCTCAATCTTCAGCCGTCTCTTCAGGATTTCAACGCCTTCTTCTTTCAGAGGAACAGCCTCCTCTGTCTTGTGGTCTAAAACCATCCAGAGCATGAAGAGACACATCAGACCCCCCAGGCAGAACTTCAGGGCCTTCAGTTTGCAGCTGGCAGCAGACATATCGACACTCTGAGGACAAACCGTGAAAGTGGGATAAAGCTAAGGTGTAATTACAAAATTCTTTACTAGGCATAAAATGATCAAGTTAAGTGGAATATTGAAATTATTGAAGGATAGCTCCTTGAGATGCAACATCTCATTTTCAAGAGTGTCCTATAACACAAATGCATAATGAACCAATACAAAGCAGAATATTACAAAACTACATATAGTACACATACAGTCCCTGACAAAAGTCTTGTCGCTTATCTATTTTGTAGAAACACCTGCTATTAACCTGACTTTTAATTAATCAATTGGTGTTAGAAATAGCTCATATGAAAAGCTAAAACCCTTCCAAATGATGTTAATGCACTGAAATAAATTAGTTTCACTGAAAAAGATTTCATTTAAACAAGACAGACGGGTCAAATTTTGCAAAAGTTTTGTCGCCTATACAGAAATTGAACAAATTTACTGCAAATACAAAAATATGTCAGCAAATTAAGTAGTGGTGCTGTGAGATCCAAATTTAATATCTTCCATGAGCTTGAAGGACTGCATCCATGTGGTTTGGCAAGGATGCATACAATTTATTGATGAAGTCATCAGGAATAGCAAAGAAAGCAGTCTTGCATGCCTCCCAGAGTTCATCAGTATTCTTTGGTTTCGTCTTCCATGCTTCCTCTTTCATCCTACCCCACATATGCTCAATGATGTTCGTGTCTGGTGACTGGGCTGGCCAATCCTGCAGCATCTTGATCTTCTTCGCCTTGAGGAACTTTGATGTGGAGATGGAAGTATGCGATGGAGCACCATCCTGCTGCAGAATTTGGCCTCTTTTATGGTTGGGAATATAAGAGGTAGCTAAGATTTCTTGGTATTTTAGACTATTGATGTTGCCTTTCACCCTGCAGATCTCTCGCACACCCCCATACTGGATGTAACCCCAGACCATGATTTTACCGCCACCGAACTTCACTGTTTTCTGGTGAATCTCGGATCCATGTGGGCTCCAGTAGGTCTCCTGCAATATTTGCGGCGACTGTGGTGTAATTCAACAGAAAATTCATTCAATTTTCCAGCGTCCATCCTTTTAGCAGGCTGTGGGCCTTGGCAAATGCCACACGGTTTTTCAATTGTCTTTTGTTTAGTGCTGGCTTCTGGGCACTGATTCGACCATGGAGGCCATTTCGAGACAGAATCCGACAAACTGTTCTGGTTGACACAGGGACTTCAGGTGACCAGGTCTCGTGGAGCTCTGCTGCAGTGGAAAGTGGGCTAGCCTTGGAATTTCGAGCCAACAAACGGTCCTCTCGAGCAGTTGTCTTGCGGGGTCTGCCTGACCTGGGTTTGTCAAAAATGTCTCCAGTGTCTTCAGATGTTTTTTTTATCCTCTGTACTTGACGCTGAGACACACTGAAGGTGTCTGACACATCAGCAGTGGATCTGGTCTTGAGACCTAATTGATCCATTATTAGTCACAGGTGAAGCTCATATGACAAGGCGACAACACTTATGTCTTTGCAAAAATTGACTCAATGGGCTTTACCAAGCTGTGAATATTAGAATACTTTTTGACAGTTTCGTTTTGCACTGAAACATTATTACAAAAGCTGATGGGATTAAAATGAACCATTTCTTGTAAAAAAAATTAAAAAAAATAAAATCTTGAATAGAAATATATTTCAGCGGCACTTCAGGTCAATTTGTACACAAGCGACAAGACTTTTGTCAGGGACTGTACACATCTACAGATAACTCGCACACCCAACACCCTCAGTTAATACAAGAAGAAATAACAAGTTAAACAATCCTATAACTTCAATTATACCAACTGAAAAACTAACATTCAAACCAAAAACAAATCAGGTTATTAATTACGCTGTATGTAAGCCAACATAATTATACCTGATAGGATTAATAACATGAACTTCCAGAGCTAAAGACGACAAGAAGGCAAGAAAGTTTTCAATATTTTGTTATTGTACATTTAAGCACAAGGGCGTCACTTTGTGTTGAAAAGTGTTGGGGACATTTAGGGGCCCAGATTAGGGGTGTGACAAAACATTCAGCCCATGAGACGTGAAGATGCACAATATTAGGGTCACAAGAACAAGACAAAAAGATATTTTAATACTGTTGTCAAATAAGTTGAGATCCCAACGCTCTTGCTATCAGGTCGCAAAGAAGAAAACTGGAGCCTTTCTCCCTTTAGTCACAACAGTGAGTGAGAAAAGGGAAGTGCAACGTACTTCCATCTGCAAACACAGAGCGTAACAACGCTATCAGCAATATTCTGAATAATGATTAAAAGAAAGATGGTTTGGTATTAAACATGATATGATGATTGAAAGTCAGGATATCTCATTGATATTGAAGATGAATAAATTGATCTTTTGATGGTAAAAGAAATAATATGGTCGAAGTAAGGACAATTAGGGTAAAGGTTAAACAACTGTACAAAAGGTTGCTAAGTTTGGGTGAAGACATCGTGACTGAGTCACTTACACCCAAAGACAACTTGAAGAGAGAATATATAAAGAAGAGTCAGACATAGATCGGTGTTATTCCTCTGCAGATCTCAGAGGCATCGGACTCAGAGCAGGACCATCACCGCACGGGACCAAGAGCCTAAGACAAGAGTTGTGAATTTGAACAGCAAACAACTTGAGAATACTTCAGAGTTTTCTTCAGTGGACTTTGAGATGGAGATTGAGCCACAGAGGGTAACCACGACTAAACCATCTGAAGAATTATTGGACTCTTAAATTTCTCTCTCTCAACTGCAACCTGGACTGAAGAATAGAGACAATTTGAGGGCTTTGGACAAAGCCTCAAGTTTCTACAAGAGTCAACAGCTCCGCAGCGAAGGAAGGATTCCACGGCCGGGATAATTTCTCCTCCCTTTCTCTCCAAAAGAAGACATCTGAATCACTCAAGCTCAGCTATTAAAATCAGCAGGGACGTGCACAGGAATTTTGAAGGGCAGTTGCTCTGACCTGAAAAAAGGCACTAAACACAGTATCCAAAATGTATTAACAATATAAATGTCACCAAAATACATATGAGAAAAAGAGTTCCTATTATTGTTTATTGTTTTTTTTAATCATTATTATTTTTTATTTTTTTCCTTTTTTTTTTTATTTGAAAATAAATAATCTAGATTGAATTGACAGATGGGGAAAACTCGCTTCTTATAAAATATTAAATAAAAAAACGCTTAGATTTCGGAAAAAAATACAATCCTTTTTTAACCTTTTGGCTTCCCGTACATTCAGTTGCGCTTCTAGCTCGTATTCATTCTGTTGGTACGTATCACGTATGGTAACTGGGCAAAACTACGCATGATTTGTTGTAGTATGATTGCATAAAGGAAGGAAACAGGAATTCCGGTAGGTAACAGAATCGACTGACGTGCAGGCAGCGCTGCAGCAGTGCAGCCACTTAAACAGAGTTTGCTCTTCCCCTACTGAATGGAAGTGAATGAGGCTTTGCGATCGCGATTATTTTTTATTTTATTTTTTTTTCTCGGAA